ATTACTTCAGTTTATATATCTATCCTTTTCAAAGAAGATGCCTCCTATAGTAACTAGTATAACACAGGTTATACCCACACATCAGCCATCAATTGCTGCCATGAAGCTAATTCTGGTTAGCCACGTTGTTAGACCCCAACAAACATGTATTTAGGTGTCGGATCATTTTCATCAAGAATATGGATCGACATAGTTAAAAAAAATGAACACAATCCAGACAATCATATGACACTGAAATGCATTAAAATGGATGGCTATGATAGGCTTTCATGTGATGCACCACTCGGTTGTTAGAGTAATTAGAGTGGAGCGGTCAGAATACTTTTTAGAGGATATAAAATATACGTCTAGAACTAACTAGAATGTAATCTCTTAAATCTGTATTTTTTTACTAAATTATTTTATTAAATTTTGTGCGTTACTTGGATTTTACTTGAATCAAGCAGATACAAGGGATATAGCGTGTTTTACTTCTACAACTGACCCTCGGGACAGCTAAGGATCAAGCAGACACCCAATGCAACAGATATAAGGGATATAGTGTGCTTTACTTGGATTTTCCACATTCCACATAGAATATATCTAAATGGCAACAAACACTTTTGGCCCATTTATTTCATAAAATTGCAAAAAGCTGTTGGTCAACAAAATTGTACATCAGTGTTAGAAAAGAAAGCTGTTACAAATATTTTTACTACTTTCACATACAAGTAAAGAAATTGTCCAGGAAATAAATCCACAAGTTCTAGTTGCCTTCCACGTGAATTTTCAATGGTAAAATGACACAATGAATTCAAATGAGTATAATACGATGCTGCATGGCATGCTTAAGGAAAGGACTAGACATGAACTAGCTTGCTATCCATCAATCGTTGGCTAAAACTGAGCTAAATTGACAAATTGCATCCATAGACTTTTAAATAGTTATGTTTATACAGAAATACAAACTTTGGGGCAAAATCTTACAATACCTGAGAACCAAGTCTTCTCTCACGGGCTATAAGGAATAAAGCTCCCAAGAGTAAGCATATGCCATGACCCCAATCCCCAAACATCACAGCAAAAAGAAATGGAAATGTAACGACAGTATAAACTGCAGGATTTGCCTCCTGATATTTAGCGACACTGCAGAAATGAAGTGTTCACTCAATACCTTACTTTACCTTGGCATTTCATATATATGCTACAACTGCAACATACACAAATATACAGAGAAAACATCATAGTTGTACCTCCAACCTAATAGCATTAAATATATCACGTCAAACCCCATCAACATCCAAACTATAAGATCATGGACATCATCAGAAATTCATTAGTCATTTCTTTCTCTAAGCAGCACCTATAACTGATCACTGGTTTCAATAGCAGGAGAAGCAAACACTCTCGTTTGATAACTAGCTTTTATAGGCTGAATTAGAGGTTTGACTAGTCAAAACCACTAACTTCACTGTTTGGTAAACAGATGATTCAAAGCTTATAGCTTATTCGGAAAAAGTTGGGTATACCAACATTTTGATAAGAGGGGATAGTGAGAAGAGATGATTGAAAATTAGACATTTCATAAATATAAAAAAGGAAAATAATAAATATGTTAAGCTTGAAATATAACTTTTTTTATTTATTCTTTTTATCTAATTGTTAATTTGTTTGGTCTTAATTTAATTGATCTCTGTTTCTTTAATTTGTTCCACCCTAATTGAAGACATTTTTATGTGTTTGGGACTTTTTCAATTTTAGAAGATTTTCCATTCTAGTTTTTTTCGTTTATGTATTCTAAATGCAGATAAAAATAAAATATTATAAGTTATTTATATGCATAAAATATTAAAATTATAAGTTAGATAACGGTATTCAATTTTAAACATAGAGTATTATAAGTTATATTTATGCATATAATATTATAATTAAAAGTTAGATAATGATATTATGTTTTAAAATTTGACCATTGGTTAAAATAAATAGTACATCACTATTTGATTGCATATGAATCACTATATTGATTGCATAAAACGTAATAAATAATGTAATATATGTAATTTTGAGAATCGTGACCAATTAATTTGCTAAAAAATATTAAATTTATTATAACAATTGCTTGTGCGATTTTAAGGGAATTTAGTTATGACATTAAAACAAATTAATTTAATTAAAAAACATTCGCAGATAAAAGAATATAATATTAATTTTAGAATAATTAACTTGAACAAAAAGTTTTACAATATAATTTTTTATGTTTAGGTAACTTTCATATATTATTTAGTGTTTATAATTATTAATTCTAATAATAATTGTTATATGATACAATAGAAAAATATAATTATTATTCAATTAATATAAAATGTAATGGGTTTTGTCTTAATTAACAGAATTAGTTTTTGGAAAGTTAGGTGCCACGTAGGTATAATTTATGAGGTTTTATTTAATGGATTGCTATCGAATATCACATATAACATTTCAATTAGTCCGTTTTTCATTTAAGCCTACATTCAACTATCAGTTGTTTACCAAACAACAATGCACAAACCTTAATGCAATCAACTAGTAAGACCAGCTAACAAAATAAATTATCCACTAATACAATCAACTATCAGTTATCAATTAATTGTCAAACATTCATAGTCCTCATATAGCAACACCAAACATGCCCAAAATTGAACAATGGCATCTGCCACACCAAAATAATTGGTAACCCAAACAACCATGCGTACTATAAAGAACATTTGTTTCATAAAAAGAAACTTTGCAGCATGTTTATCTACTTTTTGTTTGTTAGAATGCAAAGGGAATGATATAGAGAAAATCATTGTAATTCAAAGACTATGTATGAACACATTTCCATATACATTACCTGGCCAAATTGATGTGATCCAAAAGAAAATAAGTATCAAACAAACAATGGGTTGTTATTCTCTTCACTTACCCATAGGCATCAACAATTTCTTGATATGCATTGGTGAAATGGTTGGTTCTGAAGTATGTTGGAGGCAATTCCACTGAATCCATCACATGAAATATAATACCCACTTGAGAATTACTATCGAAAGTTGCACGTTGCAAAGCTTCTTGAATCTGCATTTTTTTTTTTTTAATTTTATCCTTTTAACTAAATTTCACAAAACAGAAGTTTACTCTAGATTTATTTCAAAAATATATATCTTAACATAGCATAATAGAACTGTACCATTGGCTTTGCAAATACAGGACACCAACCCTCACCAACCAGACACTTCTTTGTCACGTCAAAATTCAGCATGTTTAATGTGTCATAAATAGCCTTTTCCCTTCTCACCTAGAAGTTAAAGATATGAAACTTGAGTTCCTACACTAGCATCCAGTGATATGAACTGCAAATGAAAATATCAAAAAATAATAACTTGCCATGTTCATCCACTTTGTAAGATGAAACCCAATAGAGGTGAGAGCCGCATCCCGATGGTGTAGTCCAGCCTCTAAGGTGGTTTCCAGCTCAGATAACCGTGACAAAACCTGGAAGTAAAATGCTAATAAGAATGGCTCTACTACATTGTACTGATCAAATATAATATAAAGTTGCATACAAGCAGGGTATGCCAGGAGACGTAGCTGTATATATTCAGTAAGGTAGAACATACACCGTACCAAGATTCCATTTAGTTACAACGTCGAATTGCCTGCGTCTAATTGAAAGACACTGATTTTCATAATATTTACAAATCTCGTCTAACAGGCATTGCAGGTTCAAGTATCACAACTGATCACGCACTAGAGTTATTTTTCAGCTTGAGGAGATCATGCATCTTAATCAACATACAAGTTAAATACACTGTGAAGCAAAAGCACCTAAAAATAGAAGGAAAAGAAAAGGAACGCATCTTTTATTTTCCGTACACACTTCATATCAAATAATAATACAATAGGAATACTATTGTGCCTAAAAATTTCCTAAAAAAAGGTGATAAATTCAACACCATACTTCTCTAGTTATTTGCCTCCTCTTGGTCGTGTCCTCGGGAACTGGATAGCAGCTTGCGCCAAATGCTTCACAAATTTTCAGGACCTTTTTTCTTGCCTGCTCGCCAGAGAAGAAAACCAAGAAAATGGTTTTCTCAATCTGCAGTTACAAAGGTATGTTATCAATTATTCAAGATATATTTGTGTCTATTCACCATAAAGAGATCCAAAATACATATCCTGTCAGGGAGAAGAGATAACAGTCACACTACTATATTAGAATTCTGGAAAAGAATTGATTCTGCAGTACAGGGTATCCTTTTTTCGCCTTTTTAATGGCTAAGGTGTCATTTAAGAGAAATATGTTTTGGAAAGGAAATCGGGAATGACCATTTCATTTGATGAAGGATCCACAATTTGATCATCTGCTGGCGCCTGATTGAAAAGCATATTGCCCCTTGTTGTACGAAATAACATCCTCTCAAATCTTAGAACTTTAGACTTACAAATGATTCCACTTATAAATTTAACACCAGATTGGTTTGATGATCCGGGTTGCATCTCCTGCACTTACGAAGCTCTACATAAAATACAGCATCTGCAACAATTCACAACCTATAGAAGTTCTCGACAATAAAGAATCATAGAAATCAATACCTGCTCAAGCAGCGATGCGACATCAGCATAATCGTTGTCCGTATGGACATTTTCAGCTAATTCTGTCTCTTGAGTTGTAGAATGATTCCCACCAGGCACAAGGAAGTCACCTGCCTGGAATCACCATTAATTAATAACAGTACAATCGACAATGAGAATATGTTTCTCTGTGTCAGAAACAGGTGTATGACACCGGTGCATATTCGGAGTGTGACATGGCTAAAAAGGATCCTAATTTTGGCCATGGTCACAGGGCATGGCTAACAAACTTGGATTCAATTACATACAAAACTATACACAGTGTTGCACATTCTAATGAAAATCATGAACAATATACTTTTGATATAATTTGAACAAAAATTTTGAACTTGAAACAAACTAAAATTGCAAGTTCCAGATCACGGGTAACCTTTATCGGCTTTCACATGGTACTTAGTGTAATGGAAGTGAAGTGTGTGAATATATCTTGGAAGACAACTCTCAGATCTCACATCATGTGCGGCGTCGTATCAGGTCGACGCAACTACTTTGGCTGAAATGAAGGTCCTGTGTTGTTGTGGATATAACAGTATTCTACTCCATATCTCCATGAAAAGAACCACACGAACAAAATATCCTGAAGATATTATATGAACTTTTTCCTTTAACTTCTCCAACGCGTGATTGTATTTTAGGTTTTAAGCTAAAGATTTAATGGACATTTAGATCTTCCAGCCTGAAAAATGAGTTATTTTTGTTCTTAAAAATAAAATTGGTTATGAACTCAGGAATAATATAGGCATATAGTCCACCTTACAGAACGGGCATACCAAAAATGAGTCCATATGAATTACACTTTTCGAGTAATTCTTTTAAAGTTTAATTTTTCCAGTTGACATAAGTTCAAGTAATTCTTTTACATTTTCGACCTGAACTTCTCTATTTCAATTTGTTATTATTTCGTATCTATGTCACCTGCGCCACTTACATTTTCCACCCTGTTTCTTAATATAATATTTCACATCTTAGTTAGCTGTATGGTATGGATGAAGAAAACGAGAGAAAACCACCTCTGTATTGCCGCCAAGGTGAATGAAAAAAACGATTCAGTTTCTCCGTTGTCGCTGGCCTCGATGATTCTTCTCTAGTCTTCCACAATTTTTGATATTTTATTCTTACTCCACTAACAGATTATACCTTATATTATAGGTGATTAAACTTCTGATATCCTTCAAAGGATTTCAAAAGGTTGGAATGTTCTGATATTTCCAGAAAATAAGAAGAATTCGAAAGAAAAGATTAAAAAAATAAAGGCATGACTATACAATTAACTATATGAAAAGTAACAAAATGAAGCCTTCTTCAAAGAAACTTGATAATACTATGAGAGTACCATTTAATACATGTTTGTATCCTCACACTTCACCCCTGAAATTTTTGGTGAACTTTCACTTTCAAAGAAAGTATTTTCCGTCATGAACCTACAAAAGAAGATGGCATCAATAGTTTTCAAATGTACCTTCTGCAGAACCATCTTGAACTCAAGCAGCTCATTATATGTTTGCTGCAGTTTCTCACTGTTACTGTTCATTTCAGTCAGCTCATGTTCATGCTCAGCGAATCGGACCTTAAAGATCATACAGAAAATACAAATTAGTTGCATGGAAAGCAAAGAAAAAAAAAAAAGGACAAGAAAAAAAAAAAGTAATAAGAAAGAACAAAAAGGACCTCCAGCTCTCCTAATTCAGTATCAGGCTGGGTACCCGGATTGGGGGGTGCAATTAGACCAGCTTTATGTATCTGATCTTTGAAGAAACGTAGTTTTCTGGACATCTCAGCACATCTTTTTACCTAAAGAAATTTAACCAATATTTCATAACCAAGATTAAGGGTATCCGAGTATTCAGTTCTACAAACAAATTAAGATAATTCATAGCCATTGGAAAGGTTTTTGTAATATGAAGTATAGTTTAGTTATTTTACCCGTTGAAAACAATAAGATAATTCATAGCCATTGGAAAGGTTTTCTTTTATCCTTCTTTTTCTTATGAAAAATTGATCAACTTTACAGGTTTCTACGACAATGAATGCAACACGTATACAACACAAGCTCTGAAGTTTCACGTGAAAATAACTTGACCTATTAATTTTCAGAACCAAGCATAGTGAATGCATTTAATACCAACTTCAAGAGGCTGAACATCGAGAACTTGTATAACCATAAAGTTTGTGTACTTTAATCCCAAAAAAAAAATATGACATCAAATGAACTACAAACTTTGAATCCAATATCCAGGAGATCCTGAGTGTTCACTGCAATATGAAGTCTTCATCAAAAGCTCACTATTTACACATTATCTACAACTAAGATGCATCAGCACATGTCATCACTCTACCACCCTGCAAATTGAAACCCCAGAGAGTGCATACACTAAAAGGTCAAAAGCTCAAAACAAAGTAGTACCACGAATACATATTTGGCAAGCAAAATAACTTTGGCATAATCACCAAACACCACAACAACAAAGCTTTCAAGTGTTTACATTTTGCTTGACCTTTACCATCAACGGATCTTACAGTGCGTGATATATTTTCGTCTAAAATCCAGTTCGTAGTTAGATAAACAATATAAGCCTATCCCAAGTGACTTGCATTTTAATATTAGCCGTGACATGTACATTGGAACTTGAAGTAATTGAGGAATCAGGGGACAGATTATTCCTGCACTTAATCAACAACAAGTTGCAACTCATAAACAATACCTGGTTAACGAAAGTTCTCTGGAACGGACTTTTATCATCATTTAACTGCCCAAAGAAGAAGGAAAAAAGTTCAGATGGGTGCATCTATAAATGTTAACAAATCACAGAATAAGCAAAATAAACATCAGCATAGTGAAGGCTTCCTTAAAAAATCGCACATATTTCTTTCAGGAGAATGTCAAGTGCGGTCTCTCAACTCTCAAGAGCATCCCCCAAAAGAATATTGAGCTTGAAAAATATCACCATTTACACTTTTAAGAATTAAGATTTGTATAGCCTAGAGCATGGATAAAACAGTATATGATTCTTTCTCAGTTCTGAGTATATCTTTCCATTTTGCACCTAAAGCGCTCCAGCTACAGGCATAATTTATTTCAATAAAAATGTAAACCAGGGAAAATTAATTCAAGCTAAGGAAATCAAATAACCATGCATTTTCATAGGCGGTCCATTGGAATAGTCTATGAACTGAATTAGTGCTAAATTAGTGGATTCAACCCAATTCAGAGGATTGGCACAATAAAATCCACTAATTATATTGTTTAGTAAAGTACTGATTTCATAAGCTTTTTGAGCCCCAAACGCTAATTAAAAAAAAATCGCAGGGTTTTGGAAAGAACGGATTTATAAAATATATTATAATAAAAAGTTTTCAAAATAGCTATACAAACCGCTATTTACCAAAAACTCATTTACAGACCACTGATACAGTCTGCTAGTCAAATTAACCATTACAATCAGCTATCACCTAACTATACAAACCACTATTATCAAAAACTCATTTACAAACCGCTAATACAATCTGTTAATCAAATAAACCATCACAATCAACTATCACTTGATATCCAAACAGGCCCATAACCACATTCTCTTACTCAAAAAAAAAATTATTATTGGTTCAGATTCCTCCAGATGGGATTGACTGCCACCTGACTACTGATCTCATGTTGATGTTAATATCAGAAATCAACTAAAAGAGACCAGTTCCCAATCAGTGGCAAAACCATACCAGCATTTTTTCCCAGGTATCAATTTAAATATACCATTAGTCCTTCACTCCACTGATGGATCAATAAATCCATAAATAAGAACACAATCCATGAAGGAAGCTGGAAATATAAAAATCAAACAAGCAACAGTAAAGATTAGTGATCCAAACGTACATCTCTAAATTGGAGGAGACCAAGCTGGCCGAGATACGAGACCGCGAGATGAGCCGACTCGACGGGCATTATTAACTGCGCAAACATCATCTTCTCGGAGCGCATCAGATCCATGCTGGGAAAATTGTCTATGAATTCCATTTTCCATCCAAACCCAGAACCCGCCCCTCAACTGGCGCTGTTCGGGTCGCTTTTATCGGCCCTTTTTCAGATCTGACACCGACAAATACAGAGCGAGAAAGAAAGACGAAGGTTTAGTGCGTCGATATGAGGTAAAGGTTATGATAAAAAACGCATATGTGTACGTATAGATTTTATGGCAGTGAAAGACTGGTAACTGCCATGGCGGATTTTGGCGTCGTTTTCAGTTTTATATATTGAGAATTTTGGGAACGGGGAAAGAGTGAAATGGAAGGTACGTTGAAGATACTGTTCACGCCAAAAGCTGATGCCTTTTTCACATGAAAACGTGGAAATTTTCTTCATTAATTGGAATTTACCAATTTCCATGGGTTGTGGCTAGTCTTTTCTGTGTTGGATATCTTTTGATAGCATGTATATGTACTTTGATTTTGAGCTTAATAATATTTTGTTGTCTTTGAAAAAAAAAAAAATCCATGGGTTGACACCGTTTATAGTTGCATGAATTATCGTGTGAGAGGGTTACTCGACACACATTAAAATATGTACTTATGTTTATATGGTTTTAAGATTATGACATTTTATTTAGAAGTGCACCTATCTATTGAAAAAGTAGAGTTGTCTAACAATTATATCTGTCAAACAGAAGTTTTAATGTTATATTTATGGTATCAAAAAACAAGCAAAAATAAGAATAATGAAAATGAAATAAGAAAAGAGAGAGTATTGGGATTTGGAATTGTGAATATTAAACTAATATGTCCAATAAGAGAACGATACATATTCCATGATCAAGAAAAATTTAGAGATCGGATATTCATTGATCCATTCATTATGTCGGCATAATTGTCGACTTGCTTTAATTGGAAGACATATCGACACTAAACACATGAGGATTCCAGCTTGCAATTAAAAGACAATAATGTCGACCGAACAGAATAATAGTGTCGTCAGTAACAGTTGTGAATCCATGATGACGACAATGTATTACCTTTTTTTTTTCAATGTATTACTTTAGTAGGGCACAAATGCTGAACAACATATAATTCTTAGCTTAGGAGCTAGTTCATACCTAAATGTGTGTTAAGAAAGTGAATTATGAATAGTGCTTGGAGAAGACATAGGAATAAGGTATTAGAGCTAACTTGTACAAGGTTTCTTCTAGGTTTTTGCACTTTTAAACTATACAAAGTTTCAACAATCAAAGTGGTCACATCCTTATCTATTTCGTTCCATTCAACTATTCTCTCGTCCGAGAAGACAAAGGATGCAGTTGTGGCCTCCCCGCCACCCGCCGCTTTGGCCATAAATCTGCTGCCACCCTAGTCCGCTGCTCCGACTATAGAGTTACAGGCGTAGACGATGGTGTCGCCGCCCATTTTGTGCCTGCAAATCTTGATCGGCCTTTTGAGTCTGGCAGCGGCATAATTGGGGCCCACCGGAGGCTCACCTTTTTTCCCAGCTGTCGGAGGTCAGGTGCCACGGTTGATGGGGTGGTGATGAAGGCCTTCTCGTTCGGTCGAAATTAGTGTCTTTTTCAAATTTGAGTAGCCATAGTCGTCTGGAGTTTGGAGTTCCAAATTCTGAGATTCTTGCTTTGGTGATATGTTTTCTCTTCATTTGGTTGTCCTAGGAGGTCGGTGCTTCTTAGTGTAGCTAGTTATGCTTGTTGGTAGTCAAAGAGGGCACTAGTTTATAGTTACTTTGGTTTATTTTGCTAATTTGTTGT